ATGCTGGTCATAAAGGCAGTCCTGGTGTGGAATGAGGCATGCTAGACGGGAACACCCCAAAAGGGATTTGGTAAAAACAAACCTGGTTTTTGGCAAAGTGCTAGAAAACCTGGAGCTCTCTCGGCAAAGCCTGCTGATTACAACAAAATTCAGACTCGCTCATAAAAATCTGATGAGTCTGCCCATGGTTCTTAGGGAAAATTCTGGCCTTCCCTCGGATGTTGGCTCCACTCACGTAGCCTTCACCCGTGTTGGTTAAAGGCTGAACTGAGACCTTTCCAGAAAAGGACTGGGGTGAAATGGGAATTCCCCCGCCCCCTAAATTTGGTCGGTTTGGCAAATAAGCCTGCTCATACCCTAGATGAGCCACCTAGCAGTAGGACCGCTGAGATCATAAGCTACAGATCTCCATGTCCTCTTTACTCTTTGTTGTTCTGCCTTGTGAACTCCAGCCACCTCCCTGACCTCCCAGACTCATCCCCTCAACTCAGGGAGCCCCCGGGCTCTGCCTGAGCCCATCCTTGCTCCGCATCCTGCAAACTCCAGGCAGTAAGCTGGAGCAGTCATTTCCCCGTACTGGAAACAGGTGAATTGTTTCTGCAGACTGGGCTGGGGAAAATGGCCTCACTATATGGATAGAAAATTGGATCCCTACCTCACGCCATACACAAAGGCTAGATTAAAAACATAACTATGAAAGGTAAAATCATAAAGCCAAGAAAAAACACAGGAAAATATTTTTATGTTCTTTGGGTGTGTAGGGATCACTTAAAACCAAAATGATGCAAATGACGTAGAAAAAAATAATAGGTCCGATGTCATCAAAATTAATGACTTCTTTTTAACAAAGGATACTAGTGACAACATTAACGGCACAGGAGAAAATATTTGCAGCATCTAAGACAGCGAAGGGGACGCGTCTAGAGCTGTGCTGCTCTACACAGCAGCCACTGAGCACATGTGGCTGCTTAACCTTAATATTTCAAATGTAGTTTCTCAGTTACATCAGCCACATTTCAGGTCCCCTGGACCCACAACAACTGGTGTCTACCGTGGAGGGCACTGCGTTTGCCAAAAGATTGCGCTGCTGTCTTAACCCCCGCACCCGGTGAGTGAATGTGACTTTATTTGGAAATAGGAGACTTTACAGATGTAATCGAATTAGACGAAGTCATGCTGGATTAGAGTGAGAGGTGTCTTTATAGGAGAGGGGGGGATGATGAGACACAGAGGAGACCGTCAGAGATTTCTGGCAGCACCAGAAGCTGGACAGTGGCCTGAAACAGAATGTCCCTCAGAGCCTGTGGAAGTAAGCACCCTGCCGACTGCGAGAGAACATGTTTCTGTGGTTGTAAGCCCCTTAGTTGGTGACGATTTGTTACAGCAGCCCCAGGAAACTACTACAGCATAGATAAAGGACATTTCCATAATTCCAGAAAATCCTACTGGACAGTGCTGATCTAGAGTATCCACGGAACTCCTGGAAGTTAAGGGGGAAAAGGCAGAGCGATGGGAAATATACAGAACACGAATAAGCAGTTTGTACACAGGGAAAATTAAAGTGGCCGGTAGAACTAGTAAGTGACGCAATACCCCTCTGTAATCGGAAGAAAGTAAACCCACATAAAACGGTTTCTGCTACACAGCCCACAGGCTGACGAGCGCGAGAGGACCGAGTGGTATGGTATTCACGAGGAGACGAAGGTAGTAAAGCCACCTGCCCCGCTGGTAGCAGTGCCAGCGGCTTCAGTCACGCAGGACACACTGACGACATCGGTGGAATTCAGTGCACACACCCGAGACCCATCCATCTCTCCCCGAGAGAAGTTGTCACACAGGTCCCTAAGGGGATGATTGAGGGTCTCCCCGGAACACTGTGATAATGTCACAGCTTCCAGCATTGTTCCTGGGGTGAGGACAGTGAGTATGGAGGAGGGGCACACTAGAAATCGTGTGCAACGGGCAGAAAAGATTAAACGTTAGTGCACACGCAACACGGATAAATCCCAAAGACACGGCATCCTGCAAAAGTAAAAAACGGATCGACAGCCCTTCTCTAAGTGAAAACGCAGAGGGACCCAGGGACACATCAGAGGGCTGCCGGCGAGGGGGAAGGGAACGGGCAGGAAGACGTGGCCGGACTGGAATCCGAGTCAAGCAGGACAGGGACACTGGACAAAGGGAGGAGGCCGTCCAGACACCGAGGCCGTGTGTGTGGTAATGCTTTGTGACAGCAGCAGAGCTGGGAGGTCAGGGGGCCACCCGCCCAGCGCACCCGCCCGAGGGCCTAGGGAAATCATCTGCGTTTTGTGACCAACAGAGCAGAATAGCGGTCAAACCCCTCAGATTTAGCGTCAGACAGAAAGAGAATAAGAAGCACAGGGACATCCCTACAGATGAAGAAGTCGCGCCAGAAAGACATGCCCAGAAAACAGATTTTGCCGGACATTTCATCACAAGTTAAATGGAGTTAGGAAAATGGTAAAAGTTATTGAAGACCAACCTGCCTCAGAGATGGGGGGAGTTCTCTGAGGTCACCGGGAAAGTGAGGACTTAAAAATACTGCTGACAACGTAGAGATGAAGGGAGACTTCTAAAGGGAGACTTGAGTGGGAGGGAACCCGGGGACCAGATGACACGTGACGGGGGAGGTGGATGTGGCGCACTGGAACGGGGCCACCACGTCCCCTCTGCCAGCGCTCACTGAGATTGCGCCCCTGGTCCCCAGAGAGATGTGGAGAGGGCCTGGGTGTCACAAGACTCTCTCTAGACTCAGGCCAAAGTTGTCAAATCACTGGCCCGCAGGCCAGTGTCCCCAGCTGTCCCTGAAGACGAAATCCCACAGCCCCGATCTCTACTCTTAAGACCAGCAGGGAAATGCCAGCCCCACCTCCCACCCCTTGCTGAGAAACTTTCCCTCCATTCGCTCTTGATCCTGCCTGCTGTACTGTGTCCCCCTCCCCCCCGCCCCCACTCAGCAGCCCCTGGGGTAGAGGGGTCTTCAGGGCCAGCAATGAAGCCGGCTTCTCCTCTGAGGCCTGAATGGCCCCCAGGGTGCCCAGAGCAGGCCCATCCTAGTGGACTGTGGGACCGCTGCGGGAGTGGGGGGTACCTTTTGCCTTCCGGTATCATTACTGGGACCCTAGGGCTGGCCACATGGGGTGCTCCGCAGGTGTTCACATAGCGGCTTTGGATCATGCTGGTGGCAAGTGGGGAGCATGTGCTGTGAGCCAGGTTTGGGGATGAGAAGCAGTGCACAGAAGCCATGGTGGGTGTTTCGAGCAGGGCCATGTGTCTGGAGCTCGAGCAGGTCAGGTGGGGGATGCAGTCCTGGGGTGCCGGCCTGGGCAGTAGCAGGATGGCTACGGCTGACCCGCCTCGCTGGCTGTGCTCACACCAGCGGCCTGCGCGTGACGTGCTACTGCCGTCGGCACCTCAAGGGAGGAAACCGAGGCCGTGTGGCTCCTAAGGGCAGAGCCAGGGCGACGGCCAAGAAAGCCTCCTCTCAGGATCGGAGCAATTACCTCTAGTCCCTGTCAGAAGATTACAAGCTGAAGTATCTTCAGGCACCGTGAGAACGGCGAAGCCTCAAGCACAAAGGAGGCATCTGGACCCACCTCCAGGGCACAGGGAAGCCCGCGGATGTCACAGATGTCACAGGAGAGGAGAGATGTCACCACCAGCGCAGTCAGGATGGGCGTGGCCACAAGGAGAGCAGAGGCCACGTCAGAGAGGACAGAGGACAGGGAGGCTCCTCTGGGAGGAGGGGAGGAGGGGATGCTGGACAAGGTGGCCTCAGGATCAGGAGGGGCTGGGGGGAGAAACCTGAGTGTCCCTGCACCCCTGGAAGGATGGTGGGGCCACCTGGAAGAGGAATTTTGTGGGGATGACTGTGAGCTCACAGCAGAGTGAGCCTCCCAGGCCAGGCCTAAGGGCTGGATGGTGCAGGGCAGGGCCGCTGGACCCGGGCCTCCAAGAAGCCCCTGGAACAGAGCCTTGAACAGGCATCTCGGGAAGAGGCTGGGCGTCAGTGCTGACTGTGTCCCTGCGGGCTAAGAGGTCGGGCCCGTGGTTCTAGCCCATAACCGAGGCCCCAAATCAGGTGGAGGGCAGGGCAGGAGAAGAGCACAGGCCTCGGGGAACCTCGAGATGGCTCTGGCAGGGCCACATGACCCCAGCTCTAGAACCCAATTGCACCCTGGAGCCAATGGACAGATGCCAGGGAGCCGCACACAGGGGCCACCAGGGGTCCCCGCTTGCACCCTGTGGGAGACATCTGAGTGCCCTTCATAGGTGGCCCAGGCTGGCAGCAAGGCAAAGGGTCCCCAGAGACCCAGACTCCCTAGCACCCTGCCCACTCTCGCCCCAGCCATGTAGCTGCAGGGCTGCACCCCTTCCCCCCGCCTAAGGATGAGTCACTCCAGAGCCTTCCCCCCACCCCCTCCGCTGTGTTTGCTCCTCAGGGTCACAGCAGACTCCCGGATCTCAAGGACAGCCAAGGTGGGGGAAGGCCCCCTGGGAGGGTGGGTGGTGACCTAGGGCAGGCCACACACAGGAGCCCTAGGGTTACCCTCTGTCCCCCTACCCAGCTCTAGCATTGCATGGGGGCTCATGCCGGGGAGGGGGCTCTTCCTGAAGCCACCTAATTAGTGCTTGTCACCGCTCAAGTGGGCCACCCACAAGACGGGGCTATTTCCAACTGCAGCAGGTGCCACCCACCACCCCCGCCCAACACCGCAGGCCCAGAAGATGCTTTCCCAAGGTCTAGGGGTGGGCGGCCCAGCAGAGTGGAACATCCTGCCTCCCCCTCTGCCGGGAATGGCAAGGGCAGGGCGCCTGTGCGCCTGCCCAGGGCTGGCCCACCTGACCCGGCCAAGGGCCCGGGCCCAGCCAGCGCGCTGAGGCTCGAGGAGCTGGGGGAGCTGGGAGAAAGGGGCCCAGCCCTTCCCCCTTAGCCTGCACCCCGCTCCCACCTCCCAAATAAGCACAGGAGACGATGGTCGTGGTCTAAGAACAATGGACATTCAGATGCAGGTGCCCGGCTCATGCCTGACCCACGCTGCGCCAGGGGGAGCAGAGCAGACAGGGGTGGGGAGTGGGCGCTGCAGGGGCCCCCGTCAGGGCCTGGGGGTGCTGGCCGCCGCTGGGGGTGGGGGGTTAGCCACAGTGACTCCAGAAATGCCAGGTCCAGGGTGGTCAGTCAGGGGCTCATGGGGACCAGGCTGGCCACACCCTCCCGGCACCCAGCATTGCCAGGCGGTCAGCACAGGAAGCAAGCTTGGCCAGGGTGCCTAGGTCTGCCCAGGGACGGGCAAGGCCAGCCTTCAGTCCACAGCGGGTGAGTGGGCAGCGGCGCTGTGGGCAGATTCTGGGCTCCTGGTCCCCAGCACAGGGGGGGCTGGGTGGTGCTGTCCATCGTGCTGTGGCTGAGGCTCGGGATGGAGACCACAGTGGAAGGTGCAGCTCGGCAAGGCCGACACCTGATCTGCCCTCGGACCCAACGCTGCCCTTTCGCACCAGGCCCCCTCTTCCCAGCCACTCGCCCCCGCTCGCCACAAACAGTCTTCCTCAGAGGCAGCACTTGAGGACACCCAGCCCTGGAGAACTGCCAGCTTCTCCCAAGGTCAGAGGACACTCACCCCCGGAGCAGCTGGACAGCAGGCCCCGCTTGCTGAGCTGCAAGTGGCTCCTAGCTTGTCAGACACCCACGTAGGGACACACCACAGGACACTGCTTACCGACTCTCCTTGCAAAACTTGAAGTAGGGGGGGGTGAATCTGGCCAGGGAGAATCTGGCCAAAAGCACACACAGCCGGCCAGTCTCAGCGTCACAGACCCCCTTGGACAGCACAGGACAGGTGGTTGGCACGGCAGTGGGCCCGAGATACTAAGGCACGAAGCTAACCTAAGCCCACTGGGGTGGGGCGGAGACAGGACAAGCTCCAGGGGGCCTCCCGCCGGCAAAGCGCAGTGACAGAGCGATGACGACAGCCTGGTTTTTCCAACTCGGCACAGGCTGGAGGTGAAGGGTGACGACACGGGGTGCCAATGGCTCTTGCGAGAAGGGGCTCTATGTCCTGGCGGCCCCTATAACGGCCTCTGGGGGGCAGGAAGAGCCCTGGATGCCGCTGGCACCCCCGTCCAGGGCCAAGGGCCAGTCCCGAGCTGGATTCCGGGAGGCGGATGCCCCGCTGGGAAGGTGGTGCGACGAATCCAAGGCCCTGGCGCGGCTGCCGGTGCCCGATCCATCCCGTGCCGGCCCTGCGTGGAGATCCGAAGGAGGGCGCAGGAATGAGAAGCGGCGTGGCCGGAGGGCCCTGGAGCCTCCCGCGCGTGTGTCGCAGACAGAGCCCCGGCGGGCGGCCGTCTGGAGCTTCAGGGCTGCCTGCGGAGACCGGGGCGCCCGAAGGCCGGGTGCATGAGGTTCTCGGTGATGTAGGCCACGAGCAGGCAGATGACCACGAGCATGACGCAGATGGAGCCGCCCACCGCCGTCATGGCCACCACGATCTCCCGCATGCCCGCAGGCTCGGCGGCGAACTCCACGCACTCAGTGGGCCCGGGGGACTCTAGGGCTGCGGCGGCGGGCTCGGCGCGCAGCGGCAGCAGCTGCAGGCACAGCCGTTAGCGCACGCCGTCGTGCACGTCGGGCAGCAAGTAGTCGCGGCAGGAGGCGCCGAGCAGCACGCGCTCGCACGGGAAGCGCGTGTAGGCGCCGCGCCACGAGCAGTTGAGCGCGAAGGCGC